GCATCAAAATCTCTATTCTGCCATGAGCATCTTAAGTGAAGAGGGAACACTCAATGTTGTAAGAGAGAAGTTACACAAGCACTAGACGCAGGACCTGGAAAGCAACTCACTCACACTCAGAAGGGCACATTTTTGAGTGACCTCTTGACAGAACCCAGACTGCGCCCTTGGCTCTGCCTAAAGTCTCGCAGGTTGGAATGTGCAGCTGCAAGACTCAGAATTGGTCATGCCGGTGTCAAGAGCCATCTATATAGATTCAACATGAGCAACACGGATCAATGTACCACCTGCAATACATCGGATACAATAGCTAATTTTCTTCTGGATTGTCAACGTCATGTACTGCCAAGACAAGAGCTACAACGTAATTTAAGATGCATTAATGTAGAATTTACTCAAATGTAATTTGTTGGGGAGGTAACCATAATGATAATGTACAACAGAAAATATTTCGATTTTTTACTTTATTCATATTGAAGTCAGGCAGGTTAGGCAATCTGTAGGTTGCCATGCAACAGCTGTACACAAGCATCAAGCATGCATGGCGGCCATGTACACGTTTGATTACTGCCACTTATGTTCTGCCTACTGTTATCGTTGGCATATTTATCAACATCTAGGCATGTCTTTTAGCCTTTTAGATATTTGAAGTAGGTAGCTGGGGTAGGGAGGCTAAATCAGCATTCATTTACCATTTATGCTTTGCCTCAAATGAGCTTCTAATCTTAAGTCCATTTATTAATACTTGTATCTTTTAAACTCCTCAAATCCTGTATGCTTTATGGAGCTACTAGAGAACTGATCTCTCTTAAGAGAGCACAGACTAGCTTCCTGTACTAAGAGGCTAAAAACTTAACCAGCAACAAGCTCTCAGGCCCAACGGTCATCCATCAGGCAGACCTGTGGCTTTATGTTCACCACAGTGTGGACCCCCTGCAAAGAAAGAAGAAAAAAAAGCATCTGGGGCTAGGTTTCAGACTCTCAGATAGCATAGTTTTGTTCCAAAATTTATCGTCCTATGACATGTGGCCGTTCGATCGTAGGCTGATTGGACACACTGGATAGATACATAAGGTGCTTGTACACAGGGACAGTGCAGGTGGCAAGTAGATCTGGCAAATGTCGGCCGCTTGATGACTATCCCATATCCCGCAAGTAAAGGTGCTTGTACACAGGGATAGTGCTGATGGCCAGTAAATCTGGCAAGTGTCGGTCCTCAGTCGCTTGGTGACTATCCGGCAAGTAAGACTGTACACGAGAAGAGTATAAGGCAGTGGTTCCCAAACTTTTTCAGCCTGGCGGCTGGTGCCCTCTTTGGCTCCTTAGTGAATCTCTAGTGCCCCCCTGCCCCCCTCCCCTGACAGACACATAAAAACAAATGCCTCTTTCTGGATATTTAGTACGCTGTAATTTTAAAAGAGAAAGGTTAAACACAAATGTGTATTTCACAAATAGAGCCCCATTTAGTAAATCAATATATTTTTTTACCATTTTAACTGTTTCAGCACTAGAAATTCAAGACTGCTTGGACAAATTTATTTATGCTGGTCTTGTGGCTGGTCTTGCTGCCAGTCTCACTGCTAATCTCCAAATTCAGTGACCAAGCAATTTCTCCCAAACTAACGAATGCAGCTCGATAAAACTTGGAACATGCATTCATTGGGACCTAACTGTGATGTTTAGCTTGTCAAAAAGTTTTAAATTTCTCCTTCATTTGTGAGTTATATGGCAATACAGCTGAAATTTGCAGTGAGTAGTGATCAAAGAATTTCTCTCAAACTACTTAAGGGGAGCATCTGGGTCCAAAATTGACAATTTAGGCTTTTCCGGTTTTTAGTCTCATCATAAAGCTGACACTCTGACCTATCAAACGGTACCAAAACCATCGCTGTACATTGATTTATGCATTCACTACAAATTCTGCAAGGGAGGTGGGAGAGTTTTTTCACATTTAACATAGGGAATAATTCCCAGCGCAGGGAATAATTCCTATATATAGCTGGTCTACTGACACTCAGCTCCAGTAACCTTGCGGCAATCGTATGGGGTGGTTCCCGCGCCGTCGCTCTCACCATCCTTGACAAAAATTGAGCTCCAGTATCATCTAGTCGCATTCCTTGCAGTCTTGAATGCCGATTTTGAGGCGCCCGGGACTTTGTCAGGCTCTACTGAACATTCACACTTATTGTCACTGGAAACCTATCTCCTCCTAGAGTTTTGAAGCTACATCAATGAGACATATACCATTTGATTTGCAAATAAAAATCTACAAACGTAACTAGGGCTTTTTTCAAGTTTGTTATAGTTCGGATTTTATTTGCAAAAAGGGGGGAGGGCAGAGGTAAAATTGAAACATTTGAAAAATTACAGAAAAAATGCTCCCACACCCACAAAAATGAGAAATTCAAAAAAAGCCTAAGTTACATTATTGCCGGGTAGAAGTCTGATGTTGCGGTTGAGGTAACCGTGTTACCTACTTTGTTTACCTATGGTTTGGCAACAACCCTTCTATCTAGTATGTTAAAGGCAAATGAAAGACTGGTGTCTTATATCTTAAATTGAAGTAAAAATACGGTGACAATGTAATGAGTGAATAAGTTTAACTGCGTTCAGGAGGTATGAGTTATGATCAAGGATAGGGAGCATGAACAGGGTTATCAGTTATTCCATCTTTGGTGAACTGGAAAATAAATAATACAAAAATCAATAACCTGTCAAACTAGATAATAATACTAAGCCTGAAGGGAAATTGAATGTTAAAACTGATGCAATAAATACTTAAAATAGATTTCTTAAGTGATGCAATCTGGTTGCGTGCAGCAAGCAAGAAATATGGAAAACAAAACAGACAAACATTATAATATTTGGAGTGAAATCAGTAAAACATTTGCAAAGATAAGCTAAAATCAGAACCAAGATAAACCACTCAAATAATTTGTAAAGGTTGTGAATTTGTTAAGAAAAATATACAATAGCAAAGCTTTCAAGAATAAATTGCAAGCAGATAGTTGACATAAGAAATGCAATAAACATTGGATGAAAAGTAAAGCACAAACGAAGCTAGTTAATCAGATTAGGAGGTAGTAAAATTATAGGACACTTACAAAACATCTTTGCGATTAAAAAAGATCACACCTAACTAACTCACCAACAACTTGTGGCAGTTCCACTTAGAGACTCAACAATTTAGGGATCAGTAACTAAACTTGCATGGTTCTCCAATCACTATCATAATAATTGACCAAGTTGCCATAAATAGAATTAGTTTATATGGCTAAAAAGAAAAGAAATAAAACATACATTCAACAATAATTAATAAGTAAACATTAATTCAACAATAATTCATATATAGAGAGCAGATGGTTGGGGGAAAAATAGAGGTAGATGCCTCCCAGCAACAACATTTTTAGATATGGTCTTTATGCATCAAATGATGTGTGTCTCAATGTTGTAGCTTGAAAATCATAGGACTGATTAACTTTCTACTGTATTCCCTTTTTGGCCATTTTCTAAGAATTTAATGTTCTCTTGCAATTTTTTTTAAAAAATGCACATGAACAGAAAAAAAACAGAATTACGTTTTACATACGTGTACCAAATTTTGAATTGATCTGTCTAGTGATACTATCCAAGATATTTTTTACCCCAGATGCTCCCCTTAACAGATTTGAACAAAATTCTGAATATAAATTCATAACTACCAAACTGTGATTTTTAGCTTGTGAAAATTTATTCAATTTGGAGTTATGTTCTACATGTGTTGTATACAAATCGTCAAACAAACGTACGAAATTCTGACTTTGACTTTGCAGACTGCTGCCTTCTAACTGCCCCTTTCTTCCTCACCGCCCCCCAGATCTTTCCACTGCCTGCAGTGGGGCAATATTGCCTACTTTGGAAACCACTGGTATAAGGTGCCACTATCTTCTCGTTTGCGCCCGCCAGTGCATTGTTGGAAGCCGTTGAGTGAGGTCTACAAAGATGGATAGTGGATCACCTTCAACAACTCGAGTCTGTACATCATTTTTATACTCTTTATTTTAGCCATTAAAAATGTAATGTCAGGAGCAACTAAACCCTGACTAATAAGGTCTTATTTCAGTTTCAAAATACTTGTTATTAGCTTCATCTTGTTGGAGTAACCATCATGGCAAACATTCCACTTTAATTCATATATATGGAAAATTTGAATACATTTCAAAGAATATTTGAATCCACTTTGTTGGGTTCTTCTTTGTCTCTTAGAACCATTATCATTCAAGCAAGCCATGATTCACTTGACCCAAGATACTTCACAACTTTACAAGAGCGGCAGAGATGCTCTCTCCATGGCTGAATCAGCGCTACTAGCCACTTCTCCAGTGAAGAAATCAACACATTGTTGTCCCTCTTGGCTGCATCTCAGGCACATGCCGCGCATGCCTCTAAAGCAGCTGAACCCCTATACACGAGGCTAGTAGCATCACTAGCATGGACATTTCACGCGGCGGATGACTAGCGGCTAGTACTATCCCTGTGGACAGGCTCCTTAAACCTGTTCATGAGGACAGTATAAGGTGGGACCGCCAAAGCGGGAGTTGTGCTGTGCTGAGCACCTGAGCTCCTGTGACAGAAGCGGCTGCTATGTCATCATTCTCGAATATTGAAGTGCCCATGGATGCTGCGCAGTGCTGTCTTGCTCTGAGGCATTGAGCTGGCAAAGGAGCTACTGGCCAGAGATGAATACCTATCAATGCTCCCTGCATCCCACTGCTAAATGCTGTTCTGCTGAGATGACTCGGCAATAAGTTTTTTGTACCTTGCCTGCTCCTGACTGTGACTGGCTTTGCCAGGTGTACTGTATAGAACCATTGTTACAAAAATTCCAAGATAGCTCCATGTGTGGTTAGTGCCCCCAGGTTTGTGGCTAGTTGGTGCCCCCAAGGAGTGGTTAGTGCCCCCAGGTGAGTGGATAGTGTCACCAGGTGAGTGGTTAGTGCCCCCAAGCATGGTGAAAGGGGAAGTTTGAAGGTACTTATAGGTTGGCCTGAGGAACACAGTTTGGCCGAGCTTTGGGGACCTTTTGCACGCTTCCAACCTTTTGCAACCTTCCAACTCTACAACAGTTTTGTGCTATAAACAGTAAAACATTTTGGTATTACTTTTACTTTGAAAAATCAGACAGAAGAGAAAAGCATCTTTGAAGCCTTGTTATTCTCAATCATAGCCTTAAGCAACATTTTGGCCATATGTTATATGCACTTACATTTGGTCCCTTCAACAGAGGTACAAAGGCCAGGGCCCGGAGATGATGTTCTGGCTAAGCTGATCAGGGAGGACGTGCTGCCATGTGCCGGGGATTTGATTGCTGCCTGTGCCCCAGAGTAAGGACTTAACGCACCCGTGACTGCTGACGCAGCTGCGGCCACCCAGTCCGCAACTGAGCTGCAAGATGCAAACTTTTATACAAATTAGAAATATCAATCACGACTCTTTCATTACCGTAAAATGGGGTAACTTAGACCGGCGGGGTAACTTAGACCACTTTTCGTTTTTCTAACAAAAACCCCCAAAACTCAAAAACTATTTGACATAGAAAAATTTTGTCAATGGGCATTAAAGGATTAATACTGAGGCTACATAACACAATAGAAAGATTTAAAAAGTTTGCATATCTAATAGGTTAAAAAATTAAAAATGTGGCCCATGAAAAAAGCTATTATTTAAAGCCTGTCAGAGTACTACCCCTACAATTTTTTTTATTTCTTGGTTAAATAACTCCAGGTTTTGATGCATTGTAGTAGAACTCTTCTAGTTACATATGCAAATGACAAATTTTAGGAAAGTGGCATAGTTTGCAAATGGGGGGCGCCGCCCCCAAATGGGGGAACTTAGACCACCTAATGTCAGCCCTGATGGGGTAACATAGACCGGCTTGGAAGTTAATATAAAATTACCATATATAACATATTTTATGTTTGACAGCCTATTTAGGTTTTTTCTTTATGTTTCAGACTCTACAGAGTCTTATATATGGTAATTTTAACTTAATTTCCAAGCCAGTCAATATTTACCCTGTCAGGGCTGCTATTAGGTAGTCACATTTCCCCCATTATGGGGTGGCGCCCCCCATCTGCAAACTATGACACTCTCCTCAAGTTTGTCATTTGCATATGTAACTAGAAGAGTTCTACTACAATGCACCAAAACCTGGAGTTATTTAGAGTTATTTTACCAAAAAATATAATTGATTTTACCAGCCGGTCTAAGATACCCCAAGAGCTGGGGTAACAAAGACCATCACTTTTTTTGAAATTACATAAAGACTATGAGAGGCAGGAGCCAGCAATTTATGGTGAGTGAAGCTAGAGTATAGACCTGTATTTTGCATGTTTCAATTCAAGTTTAATTTAGCTAGAAAAAAAGGGCATCATTTATAAAGAAAGTGGTCTAAGTTACCCCATTTTATGATACTTCATTTAATTTCATTATAATCAATTAGAATAATCAGTAATTCAGTATTGATTGATTATTGATTACCGATTACCAATTGCTATAGCTATATAAATACCTACTAAGAAACCAAATAGTTCAGAACTTCAGACTTCAGAATGCCAAATTTTAGGCCACACAATTGAAAAGTTGTGTTGATTTTTAGTAAATATAAGTAAATTTCCAATTTTTATCTCCTTGTTTTAATTTGTTGTTTAAGGGATGGCGGGGTAAATTGTGACTCCCGATTTATCTTGCTGTCCCTTATAACCCTATGTGACATTAACTCACAACCCTGTCATATGGCAGCATTGAATGTTTCAGAGGCTCCCACAAATCTATAAAAAATAATAAAATACTGCACAGTTGTTATTGAGGAGCAGCCACTTACGTGATATTGAGGAGCAGCCACTTTTAAGACGCAGTGTTTGCTCGGTAGGAGTTGCAGGCTGCAGCTAGCAGGACATGCATGATGTGGGTAGCAGGCTTCATGTGCTGAGTGCCAGTAAGTGGCATCTCTTGTCACATTCTTGGGTCATTCAAACTGGAAAATTCTGCTAAAGCCACTGTGAATGAGACAAAAATGCACATGATTGTACAAATTTTACCTGTAGTTATATCCTTTTTGTCATTTATTTCATAAATGAATGAAAATAGTGTATTACCGGTATTGCTGCTATTTATATGTGACCTGAATAGATACCTGGTGTTTTTATTGGGTCTGACATTTCAGATTGATTTGTCATTAACAATAGTCTTGGTAGAGCAAGTGTCTAACTTATAAAATAAAGCATTTGTATCAAAGTGCATCATATCAATAAAAATGATGCAATTTATTTAGTTATATGTATTTGGTAATAATGTTATGTGTTAGGTTTGTTGTAAATATTGATAGATGAATAAAATAGGTTTATTCACATTACCACATGAATTATTTTAGCTTTATGTTTTAAATACTAGTTTTTTAGCTTTATATATATATACCGGTATATATATATATATATTTTTAGCTTTATATGTTTTAAATACTAATTTTTCTTCAAAATTTTATGCTAGTCTTATTAATTATGTGCAGATTTTCAATGCAATGGCACCAATAGCATTGCCTCTGAAAAAGATTGATGAACTCGTTGATTGGACAGCTGACCAATTGTCTAAAGAACTGCAAGATGCACTGTCTTGCATTCCCGCACTTCAAATGCGGAGCACAAATCATGGACCACAAACTCTAATTTGCCATGATATGAAAGGAGGCTACAATGAAGACAGGTAAAACACTCCTAAACAATATTTTTGTCTTCTTTGAACCATCTTTTACAAAACTTGACACATCTTTGTGTTTTGTCTTGCAAATGCAAACTCATTAGACAAGTAATGCATAATGCATCAGAATTTGCTAATTTTACCACATGAATACAATTGATATTTTTCTCAGTTTAAAGGTAAATAAGTACATAACAACATGTATATATTATTATGGCCCTGTATGGGTTAACAGGATTTGTTTATTGAAAATTTTCTTATTAGGTTTTTCAACTCCATCATCAATCTTCAAAGTATTAAATTTATCATAACCTTGAGTCTGTTTACAGAGTAATTTGTGGTGCTTTAACTCATGATCATATTCATATATTTTAGTTATTTGTCAATTATTTTTAACCAAATTAATTTTTGAGTAGTACTAGGTAGCCTATTTACATGATTTTGTATTCATGTTGATCCAAATTTCTTCACTCAATGTGTCTTGTAACTTGATAACGAATGATTGATACATTCAAAATGTAAAAAAAAATAAAAATGTCCATTAGTACCCTGATTTTTTATTTACTACCAGTGCAAACAAAAAATATTGTTCAATATATTGAAAAAACTAATATACCGTATATGTTTACACACATTTTTGAACAGCATAAATCACAGTTTGGTTGCTAAATGTATGCTCTCTAACATAACCACTACTTTGACATTAAGGGGAGCGTCTGGGCAAAATTTTATCTCTGCTGTTTACAGACGGATCACTCTGAAACTTGGTACACATATGTAACACAGAAAAATAGACAGCTTTTATTCATGTACATTTTTCGAAGAAAAATGAAAGAAAACGTGAAATTCTTAGAAAACGGCCATATAAGGGGGTACTGTAGAAATCTATCTCCTTCTAGATTTTTGAAGTTACAGCAATGAGACACGTACCATTCGATTTGCAATCAAAATATCTATCGATTCATTGTAGCTTTTTTTTTAATTTCGAATTTTTGTGGATGTGGGAGCATTTTTCCCAAAATTTTTGTAAATTTTTAGATTTTTCCCAATTTCCCTTTCCTTTTTTCAAAATATTTTCAAAACTATAACGAAATTGAAAAAAAGCTACAACGAATCTCTAGATATTTCAATTGCGAATCGAATGGTTTATGTCTCATTGCTGTAGCTTCAAAACTGTAGGAGGAGATAGGTTTGCAGTGACAATAAGTAAAAAAGTAGGTAGAGCCTGACAAAGTCCCGGGCGCCTCGAAATAAGCGTTCAAGGTGGCAAGAATGCAAGACTAGGCGATACTGGAGATCAATTCCTGTCAAGGATGGTGTGAACGACGACACCTAAATCCTACCGTACAACTGCAGGCGGGTAACTGAAGCACATTGTATGTGGACTAGCTATTTAAGTATGCCACCGGGAATTTTTGCCTATCCTAAATGTGAAAGAACTCCACCACCCCCCACCCTTTCACGATCTGTCGTGAACGCATAAATCAACTTACAGAGATGATTTTGGTACCGTTGAATAGAGCAGAATGTCAGCTTTATGACGAGACTAAAAACCGGAAAAGCCAAAATTCAAAAATTTTGGCCAGATGCTCCCCTTAAAGAATTCTTCTGTACTCCATATTGACAATTTTGGATCTGCAAAATTACAAGAAAATGCGCAAGCCTTCCAGTCTAATCTTATTCCAGTCTAATGTTGAACTGAATGATTTTCAAGTCAATATTTTTTTATGTGTGACATTTTTAAGAGTGATGTACCTATAATACATTGTATTAATTGGAGCTGCAGTCTAGAACAGTGTAAATCAACCTAGAATCAACATTGATTGATCTAGATTAACATCTATAACTGATGTTAATTGTAGAATCAACAGTGAATCATGAAATTGTATAAAACCTGGCAGAAAAAAATTTCAAGGTCAACAAGCCTAAGATAAAATTGTCTGTCCTCAACTGTTGAAACTTGTTTATGCATAACTGCATAACAGATTGACAAAGTTTGTATAGTGACAAAATTCAACTATTTTTAGTGCCCATTCTTCTGAGTGAGCAATATGTGAATTCCTTACTTGGAAGTACTAGGTATCTGTTGAGTAATTCCTCGCAAAAATTTTTTAACCTAAAGAGTTGACTCAAATACTGTCAACATTATCAGTATGGCAATGGGTTACTGATCTTTACTTAATTTCATTGTATATTTACAGGTTTTTACAGGGATGCAGTAAAAATGATGCATACAATTTCATCCATTGGCACAGCATAGACTTGTTTGTATACTTCAGCCACAGCTTCATCTCCATCCCACCTCCCATGTGGACGGCAGCAGCTCATCACAATGGAGTGCCTATGTTAGGTAAGACAAAAGCAGTCATAGAAGCTGTAAAACTGCATGCTAGGATTCTGTTCTTGGAAAATTTTCATATTTTCAATGGTTTTGAATTTTCAGTCAATTCTATTTAATAGATCATGGCACTATTGTTGCTATCATTTTTAGCATGAGCTGAAATTTGTTGAATCCTGAGCAGCAACATAGGTTCATGAAAACTGGCAAGGTTCTTCTATTTGCACAGCGCAGTCTTAGCAGACATCCTAGGTTACTTGTTCTACATGCCTAAGCTGTGAATTTCAGTTAAATTGCACTTGAATTATTTATAATTATGGTTACTTGATTCTTTTCTCATCAATTCATAGGAGTTGAAAATTTGTAACGGTGAAACGAGCTTCAGCCTGAATTCTTTGTTCATGGTAAAAAAATATCTCTTCAATTCATTCATTATATCTAACGAATAGTAAATAACGCTTCTTCTGATGGATTTATGATGATAGTAGTCATTGATACATCTATGAAAAGATTTTTGCATTTTATTTTCTTGACATTCTCAGGTACGTTGATCACTGAAGGGAAAGAAGGGGAGGAGCTGTGCACGGCCATGTTTAGCAGCCTTTCAATGGTTGAGCGATGTGTTGCCAGCCTCATCAATATTTCGAGATACCATAAGCTGCATGGATGGCTTATTAACATTGAGAATAAAGTCAATCCTGTTGCGGTTAGTGACAGCAAATTATTAAGCATTTAGTTTGCTTCATATCATGGACTGCTGTTTTTATGGCTCCGAGCTTCAGTTTATGATTGTGGTTGTCAAGCAATTTGGTCTGTGAAGACAAGATCTTTGATCTACTGATAATAATGAGCTGAATAAGTAAAATAAGAAGCCCTATTATCCATTTCTGTTATTGTAATTCCTTATGCAAACATAACAAAAGCAATCCATGTTCACTAGTAGTTTATTATGCAAATTAACAAATTTGATTGTTCACAGATAGGATTGGTGTTGGTGTTCCTTCGAAAATTGCGAGCTGGCATGAAGACTATAAGCACGGACAGTTTAGTTGTGTGGTATGACAGCATCACGCACAGCGGTGATCTGCGCTGGCAAGATGAGCTTAATGGTCAGAACAGGTGCTTTTTATCCTCTTTTTGCTACACCAAGTCTCAAATTCTAGAAATTATTCAGTTGAGTTATATCAAAATTATAATTTTTATTTAAGAGTACTAGAGCCTCGATAATTTTTTGGAGTGTAGATACATTATTCTAAGTTATCTTATTCCAAGTGACAAAATCATATAGTTTCTCAACCCTATTTCTTCTGATGAATACATAAAGCTTTCAGTTTATTTATTTATGCTTTTATATATACTAAAAAAAGCTTTTGCCATCTGGTGGTTCTTAAAACTGAAGGGATTGCCAGTTTTTGGCCTTCATTGTGTTACCATTGCAGAATGTAGGTAATAAAATTCAAATTCAAGATGTTCTAACATCCCTGAAAAATTTCGCAACACAATATTCTTGTAACATTATGGATGGTAGGGATGAAGTTTTTTCTACATCTAAACTATCGCTCATACATGGATTTTTGATTTCAGTTGTTTCTACGAGGCATGTGATGCGATTTTCCTGAACTACAGTTGGTCAGTGGACAAATTGGAAGCATCTCTAAATTATGCCAAAAAATTACCTCTCCAGAAACAGCGTTCGTCTCTTCTGTTATGTGCTCCAGAGAAGACTACTCATGTTAATGTTCCTGAGCAAGAGAATAACGACTGCGCAGTTTCCAGTGGCAATTCACCTCTAAGTATATCCGCGTCATCTGCATCGCGGGCTAATGTCAAAAGAAACTATCCTTATGACACAGCTTCTCCTCATGCGGCTCACTCCGATAAAAATCTACTCATGAACTCGATTGAACTTGAAACAGAAACAGACCTCAAGGAGAAACGTCCGCCACTTACATCTGGCAATCTACCATCAGGAAGCCCTGAAGAAACAAAAGTGTTCGTTGGCGTTGATGTGTTTGGTCGTAATTTTTACAAAGGAGGAGGATTCAACTGCGACAAGGTGATTTTTTTTTGTATCAGTTATGATCTGTTCATTTATAAATGGAGCTCAAAAAGTTCACAAGTTTTTTTAATGGCGTTGCTGAAAATTAAAGTCTGTTCTACTCGGTCTATATATACCTAATGTCCAAATTTTTTATCGTGATTTATTTTATGAATTCTTTCTAAGGGTTTGACTATAAACGCCCCTTTTCTTAACTGCCTCGCCTTTCACTAACCAAACCATCATACTGGGAGGTATTAGCGCTATGGAGCACCTTACTCATTACACATTACTAACTCTTTTCATATTTATTCTCTTGTACTCTTTTGAAATTTCTACCAATAATGCAGGGCTCAGATCTCTGTTAAATGCACGGATACATTACTTGGCGTGCATGAACTGTAGCGTATCACAAATTTATTCACTTGAAATCGACGTTACAGGCCCTGGAGGTCATCAGGCAGCACGGCTTATCAGCGGCAATATTTGCCCCAGGTTGGACACACGAGGTGCTCGGCTGCTCCGACTTCCCTGCGAACGACATGAAATTCTGGCGCCTCTTGGGGCCTTACATGCGAGAGCGCGGCCCTGCCTCCTGGCCCCTGCGCAGCTGCTTCAGTGGTGGCCGCGGTAGAGCTACTTACAGTCAAGGCAAGGTCTGAATATTCCATTACTATTGCAATCTTATTTCATAGGGTTCTTATGCCTGAATATTACTTTAATATTGGGAGGGTAATGCGTAGTGTATTCCGAGTGGGAGAGTAATGCTGTTTGTTATGCCTAATTTAGAATCTTACCTTACTATTGGGATGTTATAACGCAATGTTTCCGAGCAGTTCTGTCATGTTTTTTGGTGTTAATATGTCTGAAAATTATCTTGCTAATAGAATGTTTCAACATATTATTGTCAGTTATAGGTATTACTGGACCTTCATGTTCGCTTTGATATTTTATTCAATAAATGTCATGTCTTGAGTAAAATTTTAACGTCAGGCTTTGTTAAGTTACCGATTTTGTAGAAGTATTTATTACAAGCAGGTAATTCATCTGTGATTAATGCTATGGCAGGTTATTGACCCAAACCCCTGGTACAACCTGAGTAGGCAGAGTCTCCTGCCTAACCTGATCAGGGTAAGTGGAGCTGCCGAGTCTCTTGCGTCTCAGCTATCTCTGTTTATTCTATAGTATTTATATGCATTGCTGGGTTGCCTGTAATATTAAGGGTTGAATTTCGTATGAATAACCAAAATTCGAAGTTTCCATTCTTGTATTATGAATCGAAGGTCACTAAGCTTATCTATTGGATTCATTTGTTAATAATCTCTAGCAACTTGTGGAGTAGAAGTTGAGGTGGTGCTGAATAATTACTGAAGTAATATCAAGTTATTTAATTAGTTATTCCTTTTATCAGGACTTCGGTGAAGGCAGAACTTGTATTCTGGACGAAACAGAAGCCTTCGAGGGCGGCAGCTGCTTGCTCGTCCAGAACTCTACTGATGAATGTGCCCGTTTCCTGTGAGTGACTTGTTACTTGACTTGATCGTTTGCTGCTACTGTGGTATGTTGAGCGTCTCTAGGCTGCTGATATTTCCTTCATCTTCATCTCTAATTGTTTTTATTTACAAATTTACGATTCTTTGAAGTGTGCTGGTAAGCTTGAAATGCTCATATTGAGAAGAAAAAGAATACAGGCCCACAAACTATTTTGAGATAAAATAAGGTGTATGGTCTAATAAATGCAAAATTATTCGTTAGCGTCGCTCAGCAATCAGAAAGTATTTATGTTGAGAACTGTTAGGCTGTGAATGTTGTTGCCATGGCACGCGCTAACGGCCGCTGCGTTGCAGGTTATGGAACAACTGTGCGTTGCCTGTGAGCCCTGCACGCGTCGTCAGGGTGGACGCCGCCTTCAGGTGGTGCACCGCTGCTGCTGCTGGGGGTGCCGGCGCGACGCGTGCGCTGCTCAGCGAAATTGACTGCAGGTGCGGGAGGGCGTATTGTCTTTACTCTCTGTACGGTGGTAGCTTCAATCAATGTTCATTTGGGAAGGAAAAGTACCGTACCTATGCACGACAGTTCATGTATACGAATGGGAAAAGGTAAATTTGTCTTGTATTTTGAAATAATTCATGGTTTTTTAACCAAAAGTTGGAATTAGACAGGTAAAAGTTGGAAAAGGAAGTCACGTGACCTGCCTTGCCTGCCTACGCCATTGCAAGTAAAAATGTTGAAGGAATTTTTCTTGAGCTGATTACCATAAAAATGAATTAACTAGCAGCAAAAAAATCATCCACCACCTGAAGCTTTCGAAGCATAAGGATTTTTGTGATATTTATGCTATAACTTTTACAGTGTAGGTTTGTTTGTGTCTTATGAAGCCAAGCACTGCCAATATACATGGTCTATTTGAGTGCGTATCTACGATGCCTTGCATGTTGTACCTATATTGCCCGGCTGTCATATTCATTTTACTAGAACGGAGTAAAATTTAGATTTAATTTTATAGTTTTATGTGGTAATTTTATATTTTATTTAAAATATAACGATTAAAATTTCCTTCAAACTGCGGTGAAACGGTAGTTTATTAGGAATTGTATGGTAATAACATAATAATAACATAGTGCCAGTGTAAGAGACCATGCCATGTCTGGCCTGTCGACGATATAAAACATTGGAGAATTTTCACAGCATGCTGCGAGTCTTGAACCCTGCTATGCTTGCTGTAGAAAATGTTTTGGACCTGGGTTTCATTTTTCAACAATACTTGTGTTTTGAAACTAACGGCGATATTCAAGAAAGCAGGATTCTCAATACTCAGTGATATAAATTCGCCTAGATGTTGGTATGTGAGTATTTCGAGTTTAACGGTTCAAGTTTCTTGTATTCCAGTTTGACGTTGGCCTTCAGCACTGAAGTTTCTGCAGGCGTTGAGGGTCAGACGGACCAGTGGACGTGTGGGTGAGATTTTTAAAGCTTTTCCTCAGTCTTCGTACTTGAAAACTTCAGTATAATATTGCCACCATTTCTGAAGACGAAGTGGTTAGCAGTCAATGAAGTTTAAAATTGAAATGAAATATTGTAGATAAAGTTTTTATTTTCCTTGTAGAATCTAACAACAAAATTAAGAATGTACACAATTTAAATTTATAAAAAAACATATAATGATATTGTGGTCAGTGGAGAGTAACGCAAGAAAAAAATTTAACATGCAGATGAATATTGACTTGAGTTGTCTACATCTTCATTAGCTAATGCTTATTGATTGTTTGGTCTAAATTTTATCTCGTAATTATAAAATATTTCCAAATTATTTGTCTCAATGCGCAGAATATCTTGAATTGATTAACGGTCTGTAATTAATGCATGTTGTTTGCCCACAGTCACTGGGACTGCCCAGCGTACGACGGCTTCATTAACGCAGTGGCCGTGACACTACCACCACGCACCTCCCTCAAGCTCGGCCTGCTCGCGGCGCAGTAGCTCTCAAGCTCGGCCTGCTCTTCAAGCTCGGCCTGCCTGCGGTGCAGTAGCTCTCAAGCTCAGCCTGCTCGCGGCGCAGTAGCTCTCAAGCTCGGCCTGCCTGCGGTGCAGTAGCTATACTCGCAGAAACACAATATTTTACGCTTTTTTTAAACAGGAAGTGTTGAATTAAATCTATTGGCCGCGCATTGAGTGTGCGTGAATTCGTCTGACAGAAGATTATGTTAATCGTCACCTGTGAATACTGTCTCAAAAGTGCTTTATTTTGGATTGCTGATTTTGCTGCATGGTGAATAACATGCGTCTATTATGTCTTAGTTGTTTTCGTATTTATAATATTATCTACGTTGTTGTATAATTACCGTATCGTAAAAATTCAATCATGTTTCTTATTTTACTGAGGTAATTAATATTGCGTGGGAGAATATCTTGACGGTACTCGGCCTCACGTCTTAATTATCAATTAAAGTTTAATGTTTTATCGCTTGCCGTTGCCTTTGTACCAGAGCCTGAAATAATTCAAGTTGTGCTTATCTGTAACTCAAGCCATTCATTCGCTTTTAATGTATGTTAAGTGATAAATGGGATATTTTTTGATCGCGTTAGCGTTATATATTATATTAGATCAGTGGTTCCCAAACTTTTTCAGGCTGGCGCCCCCTTTGGCTCCTTAGTGAGTTTCTAGCGCCCCCCACAGACACATATAAAAACATACGCCTCTTTCTTGAAATTTAGTACGCTGCAATTTCAAAATATAAAGGTTAAACTCAAATGTGTATTTCACAAATTGAACCCCATTTAGTGAACCAATATGTTTTCAAGCTGTTTTAACTGTTTCAGCACTAGAAACCTATATAGGACGTCTCGGGCAAATTTACGGCCGGACTCGTGGCCGGTCTCACGACCAATCTCCAAATTCAGTTATCAAGTAATATCTCCCAAACTAATGAACGCAGCTCAATGAAACTTGGAACATGTATTCATCAGAACCTAACGGTGATTTTTTGGCTCGAAAAAATTTTAAATTTTACCTTCATTAGTGAGATATATTGCGATAAAGGCCGAAATTCGCAGTGACCAAATAATTTGAACGAAAATTTGAAATTGAACGAAATTTTGAATATACATTCCTAACTACCAAACGGTGATTTTTTAGCTTCACAAAATTTTCGATTTTACCTTCGTTTGCGAGTTTTTTTCATTTTACCGTCATTCTTGATTTCACACTTCCTTATATTCGGCCTGTATCGTCGGATAATTTGTCGCTTAAATTCGCGGTGATCAAGAAATTTCTTCTAAACTACTCAATAGATTTCAGCCAAACTTTGAATATAAATACCTAACCTCACAACGGTGATGTTTAGCTCGTGACAATTTTTCTATTTTGCTTTCGTTCGCGAGTTATACAGATATAGGAGGAACAACCGGCTTTTCTACCGGCCGGTTTAACTAAGAGCCGTTTACGAATGGATATCCGTATACTTATAGTCGTATAACTCGCAAACGAAGACAAAACGATAAATTTGTAGTGAGCTAAACATCACCGTTGCTGAGGTTAGGTATTAAAATAATAAGTTTCATTCTAATATATTCAGTAGTTTTGGAGGAAATTTCTTGATTACTGCGAATTTAAGCACGTATTGCTGTTTAAATCACGAATGAAGGTGAAATAAAAAAAATGTGTACCAAGTTTCAACGAGTTAAGTTAATTAATTTGAGAGATATTCCTTGATCATTGAATTTGAAAATTGGCCGTGAGAATGGCCGCGAGTCCGGCCGTAAATTTGTCCGGGACGTAAACCCATGAGAGGTTAAAAAAATAGATCTGGCGGATGAAAAAACCATCCCTGGGAGTCATGATGTGCTGCACGTGTTGTGTACAAATTGTCCAACAAACGTTGGAACTTCTGACTTTGACTTCGGACTGCCGCCCCCCTTATCGCCCCCCAAACGCCCTCTTCTTCCGTACCGCCCCCCAAAATCTTTCCACCGCCCCTAGGGGGCGATATCGCCCACTTTGGGAACCACTGTATTAGATACTCTAATTATGAAGATATTTATTTTACTTTATTCAAATTTTTTATTGTTGAAACCTGTATAAACTTTCATCTCAATCACTTATTTTCTTATTCATTTTATCATTTAAATGCCGATAATTTTTTTCGGTCCATTCGTAATTTTGTAATTATTATTATTGTAATGAGCCGCAATAGATAAAACTTCACTTTAAGATATATCATTCAATATACGGTCAAAAATACCCTGAATTACCTTATATTGAATTACCCCTGTTGGGCACCTGTGCTATACCACTTGTGAAATAAACTCTTCGCGTCACCACTTCGCCATGAAGCAGCATTGAAGTCCTTGCCAGAGTTGCCTTGTATGGGGACCTGTTTGTCTTTTTGTTACGGTGGGAGTTGCGTGCGTCGCAAACCCCTCTCGTCCCTCGATCTTAACGTATTATAGTAACGTTATAATCGTATTCTGCATCAGCTTTTACAATATACGTGTATTCTGTATTAGCTTTTACAGTATAAACGTATCGAATGGAGTTTTTTCTAGCAAGAACTCCTGCGCTTTTCTTTACGCGGGGAAAGCAGTTGGCTGATAGAATGTGGGCAAGTGAAAGAAATGTAAGTCTATCGTATGAATATCTCATTGAAAGGAATAATGAAGCTACACTCTCTGTATGTTAAGTTCCGAGACTCATGATTAAAGAACTTCCCTGAAAAGTTGATTCCTGTGGTAATGAGGAAATTGGTATAGACATCGATCAACAGGTTATTGACACTTTAATCTACTTGTCATTTTGCATACATAGTCGTATAACTTAGCTCACCATTTAAATTGGTTCGGTGAACTTCGGAAAAAATAGCTACTTCGGAAAATATACTTTTATAGGATTCTTAGTAAAGGCAGGTGGATGTTGGCGCGTTCGAGAGCCTATAGGCGTGCGGTAAGTGGCTTATCAGTGTTGTTCGTGGACACGTTACACTGCAGACCTCAGGACAGCCGCATGCCGTGGCTCTCGTGTTGTCAGAACCAATAGGAACATCCACGACCAAATGGTCTGTACATACTCGTCTCATGGGCTGCCGCGGCGCGACTCCTTCCTTCTTACGATTGTGCTAATTGTGTCTTGCACTTGTGTCTCGCCCACATGACGTTTCTTTATCGAGTTGTTTGTTGAGCTGTTGAGCTTTGTTTGAAGGCTTGTGTGGTGAGCAAAGAAACTCGTGGCCCTCCTTCGAAAGCTATGCAAACATGACGGGCGTCTCGGCCGCTGGGCGACCCTGTGAGTCTAATTCCTTTACATGATGGACAGCCTTACTGGCCTGGGATAATCGTACGTACATTTCATCCACTTAATGCCTCAATCTGCACTCGTAAAAGATCTCAATTAACACTAGTTATTTTATTACAATAATTACGTTACTTTATTATAAAATTTTAGGTGGAATAAACATTTTATTATTGCAAAATGGCAAAATTTTTTATTAAATTTAATTAATGGTGCATTATAGAGAATTTAACGATTGGTCGTTCATATAGTTGTTGTTTGTTAAATCGTTTTGAATTTTGACATGGGTGAATTTAATAAGTAGTTATAAACATTTCTAGGCCTCATTATATAGTTACACCAATTCATATATATTTCATCACGTTACTGTATCAACATATACAATAAATAAAGGTTTCTACACGTCCATACCTTCTATTCCTTCAATTCCTCGAAGTTTGCACCATTGCTGCAGGTCTGATACAATCCATCGGTTATTTCAGTGTTTCAACTCATTCGACTTCCGCCTAATGAACAGCGGTGGTAGTTTGAAGGATTTTTATAAATATACGTCGTCCGTGGTACACGTTTATTTCAATTATGCATGAGCAATTTTCTGAAAATCACTCAACCCAGACGAGTACTGAACCCCTAGCACTACAGATTAGGACTGGACGGAACTCCTAGCACTACAGATTAGGACTGGACTGAACTACTAGCATCACAGACTAGGTCTGGACTGAACTCCTAGCACTACAGATTAGGACTGGACGGAACTCCTAGCACTACAGATTAGGACTGGACAGAACTCCTAGCACTACAGATTAGGACTGGACGGAACTCCTAGCACAGCAGATTAGGACTGGACGGAACTCCTAGCGCTGCAGATTAGGACTGGACTGAACTCCTAGTGCTGCAGATTAGGACTGGACGGAACTCCTAGCACTGCAGATGAGGACTGGACTGAACTCCTAGCACTACAGATTAGGACTGGACTGAACTCCTAGCACTACAGATTAGGACTGGACCGAACTCCTAGCACTACAGATTAGGACTGGACTGCATTGGTTTGCAAAACACAAAATCGGCAGCACTAGTGCTACTCTTTAGTCACATTTAGGACCTGTGCTGTGGGACGATGAACTCTTCTCTCAAAATAAACAAGATTTCAGTTCAATCAATAAAAATTTTACTATAAGTGTATATAAAAAATGGCAACAATAATATTTCAAATTAACATCCGACCGAACATTAACCGTGTATGATTCTAAAACTGCGGGTAGAAGAAAGGATGAGATGGAAATGCCTATCTGAAGCTATACGTATACTTGTTACACAATACTGCAGACTGCAGTTTTCCACGGATCGAATTACTGTCACTGAGCGAAAAAGCACGTTGACATTCCAACTTGACCTTATCATCATAAGTGATCATTTGACTCAACGAATGACAAAGAATTACCCATAGATTAGCATTCCGAAAAATCCGGCTGCTAGTGTTTCAATTTTTTTGCGTCCTTCGTTAGCCGTGGAACGAATCTGCTGCTGTGTCTCTTTGATGGAATTCATGGGACTATCAGTGAGCCAATCGCGCACCAAGCAATATTTTTGGTCTCCAAATACAAGGTCTTAATTGTTGGAACGATGAACAAAGTCTGTATAAATGAACGCGTAATGTTCGTCATAAAATTGGTGATGCACTGTACAAACTAATTCGTGTACTAAATATTTACTTCAGTACATCACCAACGACAGTATGAATGACCTACGAGATCCCTGAGGTTAATATGGACGATAAGAGTATCATACTCAACAGTTAAATTCTTTAGAGCAATTTCTATTTAATTGGTTATGTTTTAAATTCACGACAAGTAATCATGAACGTATATTGTATTACTTTTTCTAAAATCAAAATATACGGCAGAACTTGATTAATTTATTTTCCATCATATTATGACTTATATTTCAGTCTAAGCTTCCTGTTTTAAGACGAATTCAGTATAAGATTGGCCTGAATCAGTTGGACAAACTGACCATATAACGAGAAAAAAAATCTTACTCACTTGATAATGAGAACAAAAACTTACTCACTTGAAGAATATTCAAAAAAATACGCGACCGATAAAACAAATTAGAAACTTGAAATGAAAAAAACGAAAAATAATGAAATTTTATTGTGTCTCGCCCAAATGATGTTTCTCTTTCGAGGCCTGTTTCACAAAATATATCATATTTTGTGATGAATAAAGTTTCTGCGAGAGCCTTATTTGATAAGCAACCATCGAGAAGGCATAAAGGTTCCACCTGCGTTGTGTGTCTGGCGCGCGCGCGGGGATGATGAAGTGAGTCTTCTACCAGCACGCGGCAGCTGCAGA